CCTCGCGATTCAATTGCGACACATCGCGTAAGCGTAAACTTTATCACAAGTGCAAGATCCCGCGTTTCGCGAAAGGTCACGTTCTCACAAGTGTCATTTCCGTTTTTTGTCAAATCATCGCGGCGCCCGCGCCCGCGAATTATCGCGCGCGGCAAAACGCCCGGTTTCCGAGATAAGAAGCGTGGAGCTCTCTCGCCGAGCGATTTAGTCCGGTCCTTCAGCAACGCGTTGGCTGACCATTTCGGCCATTACCTATACGAGCGACTTTTTCGCGAAGTATGCGCGTCGGAAGGTAGCACTTAAGTTTCGCACGCTACATTTACCTAATTTCCAGAGCGAACGCGTCATTATCGCGCTCGATGATTACGTCGGTAACGTGCGATTATCAATGAATGCGCCCAACTATCATTCATTTCGTTAATTCTCAAATCGCTTAGCTCGCGATAAACAAACTTCAAATTTCGAGTTACCGCAAGAAGCTCTGGAGAAATGTCGGCTTGTATCCTCAGCGAAAGAAATAATCACGCAGAAAGAGAAGCGAGAAAAATCGCCGCTGTTAATAAAATAAAAGGAGAAAGAATATTTTGCGATAAAAATGAAGTTTGGGCATTTGAGGAGACGTCGCGCAGCAGAGACCAAAGTACAGATTTGCTCGCCGAGCCAGACGACCGGAAAAATCGATCACCGGGAGCAGCGGGAGCAGTGACAGCTCGCACTCGCCGAGACTACGGCAACTTCACGTCATATTTCTCTCACGCGTATCTCAGCGACACGAAACGGGTTAATAATCAGCGTCGTGCGTCGTGTTGACACTCGACGATCTATCTGTCAAGACAAGAAGTGAATAATCGGCCGTTTCGATAATTCCACGGTAGGCCCAGCTCGCAGCTGTATTCATCGAGCGCGGTTCAGTCGGAAGAGAGGGTCAACAAAACAGGATGCGCGCGCGGCGGTCCCCGCAGGAGGAGCTCCGCGCGGCTCCCTATTCCGTGGGGCACGCTCGCAAATACCGGGGGGAGCAGCGAAATGTCGAGCCCGGAGCGCGTTAACGCGCAGAAGGGAGGGAAGGCTCGCTTCCTGGAAAGCTGGGGCTGGGCACCTGTCCCACAAGGACTGCCAACCTCCACGAGAGACTCTCGAGCAGAGCGACTCCGATGAGCCTGAGCACCGCTGTTCCGTTAAAACGCCAACACCACGTGCGGTCCAGCTTGTTGTATTGAGGCTTGAAACGCGGCCTTCGCTCGCATATCGACCTGTCAAACATCGGCGACATCGATCGACGACCTTTTGTCTCTCTTTTCTTCGCCTCACTTTCTCACACCTCGAGACATTGAAACAATGCAATTCCGGATAACGCGCATGGAAGAGAACTCAGCAGCCGTCGACGAAGCCGTTTGGCGTCGGTCCGGGAAACACGAACCGCCCGGCCCGGCGCGGCTGTACGATCCGAGTCGAAATCTCGTCGCGAGAGATGCGCGAGATCGAACGCGATCACACGCGATCGGTTGGCGAGCGATGTTTTCGAGACAGGCAGTAGGCGAAGGCGCACAGCAATGTCCGACATAGGGACGACGAGGCGAGCGCAGCATCGGTTGGACGATCTCTCGTGGAGCACGAGAAGGCGCGTCGGGTCGCGTCGCCGGCGACAGCCGCCGGCGGAGCGGCGTCGTGGGCGACGACGTCCTGGTGACTCTGTGATCGCCCACCGCGCCGCGGCGCTCGGCGTCGTTCCTCGATACCTGTTGCCTAGCAGCGCGACATGTGGTGCTGCTCCGTGGCCAGCGGGGGCGCGTAAATACGGATGTACATGCGCATGTATGTGTGCTGCATTTGACTTACCGGACACCTCAGGCACGCCGAGTACCGCCGCGATGAGGAGCAACGCAAGCGCGTAATCCAATGTTTGCCGTGGCAGCGACATGACGCCAACGTGAATAGCTCGTTGTTATCCACACACGTCGGCTAGACACACACTCATCGAAGGGACACGGGCGCACACACTCGGGGAACGAACGAACGAACGAACGAATGAACGAACGAACGAACGAACGAACGAACGGAACGAGCGAGCGAGCGAGCGAGCGAGCGAGCGAACGGACGGACGGACGAGCACTCTCCGGCGCGCACACTCGTTGCGTACGAAGGAGAAGGACGTGGTGCACGCCGTCACTCGAGCGGACGCATCGTCCGCGATGCGCGTCGCCACGGATATGTCAACGATCAGTCCAAACTGCACGCTCGCGTTACGGTTACGTTCGGTAAAAAAGCATACGACACGACGTACACGAACACGACCGCGTCCGAGACACTTCTGGGATCCCTATTGTTCGCTTAACGCGCTGAAAGTAGTTCCCGCCGTGCGCGCGCACCTGCCTCCCTTCGCGGTATCACTGCGCGGCGGCGGGATGGCCGACGGAAGCGGCCAATCGGCTCGCAGCTAGAACGGAACGCGACCGGTCGCAGCACGCATCTGTCTCCGGCCGTCGAGTTGTTTAAATATTTTTTTGACTGTTTACAAATTTTCACCGGCGATCGCCCGGCATTTAATCGGCGGCTCGTGTCGCGTGTTTTTGAGCCCGGTGTGGTTGAGCCGGAACGACAAAAACATTAGCTACGTCCGCGTCGTTGGGTAGTTATACGCAGAGGTGAAGCTCGTGTTGTGTTTTGGTTCGCTGACACGGTTGTATGTGTGTATGTGCGCGTGTGTTACGAGAAATAAAATCATCTAGAACGCGCGGCACACACGTGCCGTTTACATATACGTAATAACAGATAACGTGTAATTATTACTCTTCAGACGCGCGGTTCATTTGTATTTGTACGGGGAGATTGAATTAGCGAGTGGAAATAAATATTCGTTTATTAAATGCGCGAGACGTGAGTATTGGGAATTAAGAGATTGCACTACCGCGGGCAATTTATATCACGTGTCTCCGTCTCGAAGAACGGCCGATCGCTGAACCAGGATAATTAATGCGGCGCTTTATTCACGGATCCTTAACGACGGATCCCATTATATTTCGCGTGAGAAATGTCTTTAATTAATTCCTGATATTCCTTTTTTTCAACAGCGGCGCCTTAATCGCGTGCGAACAGTCAGGCCTAATTAGACCGCCGGCATGAAAAACCGTTCTGAATCTTTCACGATTAGGCATTTCGGTCACGCTCCTCGCGCGAGAATTCTGTACAAGTCGCGATACAAAGCAAACTGATCTCCCCCCCCTCTCCCCCCTCTCCCCCCCCCCGATAGATTCGGAATTATCATTTCTCATTCTCTTCTCGGCGTCCGATTTCCTACAGTTAACTCCCGTGAGAAACGAGAATGTTTACTCGTAGAAAGCCGAGTGTCTCTTGCGTGAGTTCCATTGTCAATTCTACTCTCTTCTTATTAAACAGACATAATTAACACGCTGATTACCATCGCTTCGTCGTACGTTATTTTCTCGAAAGCTATTTACTCATCTCACAAGCTTAACACTAATAATTTTAACCGATCCAATTATCAAAGATATTTCAAATAAGTGTAATTGGAGGCGCATGTAGCTGTTGCGTGCGTTCCATTGCCAATCTCCAATAACTGTACGACTGATTTTTCGAAATGCAATTAATTATACTTTATGCGTAACTTAATGAAACGCGACCGTCGATGAGCGTCGCAACATCCAACGTTTTAATTATAACTGTAATATAAAGACCAGCACGAATAAGTAGATAACAAATTGGAGCTGCTGATAACGAGCGATGACTAATTAGCTAATCAGTGGAAAGTAATTACGCACACATACACATATGTATAACATGCTAATTTTCTGTAATGTGTATTTATAATGTTCGCTTTTGCCACGGCGAATCCACAACAAAAGGACAAAACTGCAACTTATTCCGATCCAAGAATTTCCAAGCGCTCGGACTTTCCAAACCGCATCGAGCAGCAAAACCGCGATCGATATCAGTGCCGGTATCGGTACCGGTATCGGTATCGGTATCGACTCGCACATCTGTCTCCATGGCGAGACGGATATCACGCAGCGCGGCTAGCACGCAGCCTCAGCCGGTTAGGATGTTTCTCGGAGGATCGATGGACGCAAGGAGAGTCGCTTGGCGCGCAGAGCGCAGAGCGAAGGAAAAGAGCGCAACGCGTCGCATCATTAATTAACGCCGCTCGGCCACGCTTGATTGCGTGTAATGCGAAATTCATCGCCGTCGCGTCGCGAGCTTAGCCGCCAGGCGCGGCTGGAGCGCCTTAACGAATACAAATGCGGAATTATAATTCGGTGGAGCCGAGTTCCCTCTCGTTCTCTCCTTCTTCCCCCCCTCCCTCCTCCCCTCTCCCTTTCGATTCACGCGCGCGAAACCTTCCTTACGAGTCGCCCTCCTAAGCCCTTTGTGGTCGCAGCACGCGAGATGCGCGCACGAAGCAGCAAACACGCGCTTCCCATTAGCCTTATTAATGGTGCCGTTAACCTTATCGTCGAACTGCAAACATCTGCGCCCTGCGGGACGAGCGGCGCACACAATTGTCTCTCGTCGGGCGCAACGGCGCTTCAATTGGTGAGATTCGTCGCTGCAAACGGAACGTCGACGGCGGAGATATCGAGATACCGCCGTCGCCGTCGCCGTCGCCGTCAGGCGTCGTATCCGCGCTGAAATTCCTCAGCCGAAACAAATTGCGCGACGACAGTCGTAGCGAGATTACGTCCCGCATCTACTTCGGGCCCGGATCAAAAAAGATTATATATAATTATACAAAATTCGCGTGTCTGTATAATAATATATAATTATTCTCGTCGGTTGGTCGTACATCGCGTTTTATTTCGTCGAACATGAATTTTAATATATTTAACGCTGCTTTCGTACCGCTGTCCCGTTAATTTACAGCGATGTAAATATGCAGCGAGAATGATGGCTTGGGTTAAGAAAAGAAAAAATTAAGAAAGAACGATGTAATGATATTTGATTTGCAATGATAATATATTGAAACGGTTGGTTCGTACTCACTCTAGTTAAATTGCGCGCCGAGACACTTTCTCCACGTCACAGCCGGAAAATCGAAGTCCGGTCGTCCGGACGACTAGCCGCATTGTTGAATCGATTCCACGTGGGTAATCCTTTTACGTTCGCGAGAACATGTCCGAGCTCTTGGTCCTGTCCGTTGCTGAAAACAAGTTGAACGAACTAAATAAAAGCATCGTCGAGATCAAGAAGAAAATCCAACTGTCAGGTACATAACTGCTTAGAACGCTTAACACAGAACACGTGCTTCGCTAATTTATATCGTTCCTAATGAGCCTTCGCTGAGAGACGGACAACGAGAGAGAAATTAAGAACTCGACGATAATTTTACGATTAACTTTGGGTTTGGACATTTCACCAGAGACATATGATTAAAATCATTATCTGATCAAAGTCAGCGAATGACGACGCTCGGCAATCCTCACATTCTCGTCGAGAAAATATCGACTTCGTATCGGCCGGAGAATCTGTTATGAAGAGATAATACGGTAAAAGTGGGACGACCCGTATTTTAATATTCGGGTATTCGTTTTGCCACAGCGAGGCGCGCCGAAAAGGGACAGCTCGCTGACATTTCGAAGACGGGATCGCGATCGTATTATACAATGATAAATACGAAGGAGGTCGAACTGGAAGAACCAGTATTCGAGATGTACGATGTAAAAATAGCACCAAGTGGAAGAGGCGAAATGTGTGCGAAAAGGACGAGCGAAATCTGTGAGGTGTGTGTGTGTGTGTGTGTGTGTGTGTGGGGCCGATTAGGCTGCGTGTTGCGGAACAGCTTGCGGGAGGTTCGCGTCCACTTCGCATAATAATCTCACACGAGCAAACCCGTCAGGTCGTTAAGCGCAGTGGAGAAGCTCGCGAAGAAGAACGTGCGCGTCGTACACACGACGGCGTGGCGACGACGATCGCCCCGGTTTTGTAAAACATGCGAAGGATCATGCGACGATCACGCGACGTTTCGTTTCGTTTCACTTGTCTCCCCCCCATTAAACTTCAATGAAGCCAAAGCTACAATATTATGAAGCTGCAAATAAGGTCGAAAAAGTCATTCACTGAGCCAAGCCTCAATAGTCTTTCCACTTGCTCGTATCATTTTTAGATATGCGCATGCATGATGACTTAATTAACTGGCTGATTTGCTATTCCGACAGCAGAACATAACATATATCACACATCATATGATATCCATTTTTTAATGACTTTAACCCTTAAGCAGAATGGAAATTCACCCGATGATATGTTTCAGCTGCCGCCGCTAGATGGCAGCACGTTACACAGCGCTGCCCCGCTAGGATTTATAATGTTTATAAACACTTACAGTTCACGCACACTGAGAAGAAAATAACAAAAACTATTGTGAGTGAAAATTTACCCGTCCTGGTTAGAAGAGGAGGTTACAAAAACATTCTAGTTCAAGGGTTAATGAAGCTTACATTCTTCGAGTTACACAATTATCTCACGATCTCTCAGTTTCGTCGATCAGACCGTTGCGGTTCATCAGCCGATGAGCCGCAACGGTTAACGAAATTTCCGATTAGACGATAACCGGCCGCTATGAATGAAACCTTCCGTTTGCGCCGTCATACTTCGGCGTATTTACGTTTGCATTAATGAGCGGACGTTAGGCATCCCCGGCACAAATAATAAACAGCTCCCATAGTGACGAGCATTGAATGTATCATCTCTCAAGGATCTCGCGGCATCATCGGCGAATCGAGACAGCTGAATAGATTTATCCGTCGACGTTGTATATTCAGCTATGAAGCAAGCTGCGGTCGCTTTGCGAGGAGCGCTTTCTCGTTTTGTTAACGATACTAGCACACGTCTAGGTCACGTCTTACGGAGCTCCAGGAGGAACAGTTGGATTTGGCGTTTCCGCCAGCTCCTGACGCATTCGTGTCAAAACAGCTTTCGCATAGATCCGAGCATATTTCCGCGCACTTTGTAAAAAGTTTTAAGCATTAGCAATCTTGTGCTATTAATAATAATAATAATAATAATAATAATAATAATAATAATAATAATATCCTAGCGTTGACCTGACGTTCTCACGTAGGCAAAATGTAGTGAGATTCTGGCGGAAAGTTAGCAGTATTTGTTAACATCAAATAATTTCTGAATATGTGAACCTGGCAAGCGGCTTGGTAAGAAAAAAAAATTCGCAATACGGTTCGATTGTACTTCATTTGTACCTGTTTGTACCACTTTTTGTTTCGTTTGTACCTCGAAGGATAAAAAGATAAGGGGAGGAGGAAAAATAGCCAGCAAGCAAGTATAAGATATCGCAATACGGCCAACGCCATTCGAAAGAGAAATCGGTTGTATCCGTTTGTACCTTCCTTCAAATCGTTTGTACCTCAAAGGAACCGGAAGTACAGGGTCTTCAAAATATGTCGAAAGATTACTTTCGTCCTTCCGGTTCCTTTGAGGTACAAACGATTTGAAGGGAGGTACAAACGGATGGCGTTGGTCGTTTTCGGATATTTTATACTTGCTTGCTGGCTATTTTTCCCCCTCCCGCTATCTTTTTATTGTTTGAGGTGCAAACGAAACAAAAAGTGGTACAAACAGGTACAAACGAAGTATAATCGAACGGTATTGAGAATTTTTTTTTGATTAAGTTATTTGCCAGGTTCACATCGGTTCCCGAATAGCGCTGAAAACAATCAAACATTTGCTAAACTGATTTATATGCTTTAAAAGTTGTACTATTTTGTATAAAAGAAAAACTATCTGCACGCATAGGTATTTAAACAGAATGATGCAAGACGACGAAACTTTGAGCGTTTGAGATTTTTCTCTGAGATGAGGAATACAATGGAGTAGAATACACGCACGCACACACATAGTGTATCGCGTTATGCTTTCAGAGGGTCAGAGGAAAGCCAACTTTGAGGAGTACGATACGAAGAAACACGAAAATGCCGAGAAGATCATCGATCTTAAGAGGAAAGTCAAGGAGCTTTACACGAAATACGCGAAAGCGAAAAATGTAATCAGTCAGCGCAGTCAACAAAATCGGACGATTTTCTTTGAACGAGAACGATGATATGACAGGTTGTCTCCTTTCAGAATGAAGAGGCGATGGAGCGGGCGGCACTGCTGAGTCGCGACTCCATATCTTGCAAAAGGAAGCGCAATCTGGAGGACGTCGTGGCCACGGCGAGCGAGAACAACGTGCATCTGAGAAAGAAATTGGATCTAATCAAGTATCAACGTGAAAAGGTACTTAACTAGATACTCTCTCTCTCTCGAGTCACAACCGGCGACAAACTTACCGGTATCTATACTGTGACAACGACATTTTGCCAAATGCCACCAGCACGAGGGGACCTTGAGCACTTTGCAGACGGAGAGCAAGGAACTGGCACGCAGCAGACGCGGGCGTTGCGTGTTTAAGAAGGCTGAAAACCCGATGAAGAAGGTAATCATCCAATTGATAGCTGCGATATTCACTGCGGCGAGCACTGAGGAATGCCGGAAACGTAAACGCGGAAACGTAATTCGCGCAGAAGATCGAGAGCCTGGAGGTGCAGCTGGAGCACATCCGAATGATGCAAATCAAGGCGAACATCGCGCGCATGAAGTACCGCTCCGTCTGCTCCGAGCTGCGGGAGAAGTCGGTGTTCTACGCTTCCTCGCTGAAGGATCTGGAGGACGGCATCAGGCAGCAGGAGATCGAGATCAAGCGCTTACAGGCAAGCACGCGGCTACGACGATAGCGACAGACTGGTGATGTGACGCGACGCGACGCGAGCGATAGGAACGACCCGATGAGCGGCCGATCCGCTTCTCACATCGCTGCTGATTGCAGGGGGTGAAGGAGGAGGCCATCGAATTGAGAGACAGCACTCAGGAGAGCCTGGTGAAGGAGGAGGTCGAGGAGACGAATTCCAGCAAAAGACGCGATTCCGTCATCAAGGAGTACAGGTATGCGATTGACTTTCCATGTCGAAGAGCAGCCTCCGACCCTGTCCGACAGTCCTAGTTTCCCTGTGACCGACCTGCTTCGCCAACGCAACGACGGCCATCGTCGCGGGTGTTAACGTTAACCGAGTTCGCAATGCGTTCCGGGACGCAACGGCAGGCAACGCGTGTCGGAGCGCAAGATGGAACTGGAGCGGCTGGAGCGCATGATATTCCACGCCAAACCGCGCGACGATTTCGAGACACGTGGGAAGAGTCGCGTGCAGGCGCAAGAGGACATGATCAAGGACGAGCTGGCGCGGCTGGAGGAGGCGTTCGCCAAGCTGCGGAACGCCACTGGGGTGTCCAAGTCGGAGGAAGTTCTGAACCGGTTTCTGGGTCAGCAGGCGACCAAAGACAGTCTGCAGAAAATGCGCACCGCCACCGAGCAGGAGAAGATGGTGCTGGAGAGGAAGAGGCAGGAGCTCAGCGCCGAGATAGAGACAAGGAAGTTCTCGGAGACAAAGAGCACCGAACAGTGAGTCTCGTCCTTGAGCTAAATGATTAATGAGTGGTCTCTTAGGATCCACTAGCTGCTCCTAAGAGTTTGTTGCAAACATGTAACTGCGCCTCGTTCGGACACGGAACGAGCCGAGTCCGAAGCTGCGGGGAGTGCGCTTTACTCTCGCTCGATTCGATGTACGATTTTACGCACGCCAGGAGACACGAAATCGGGGCATGACGGGGCCGCTGGCCTTACTGCAGTTCACGGCGTCTCGCATATTTCAGGAACGCTGAGGTTACGGCGAAACTAAATTCTCAGATCGACGAGCAGCGAGCGCGCAAGGAGAGAGCCGAGGCGGCGAATCGACGAGTCGGCGAGCTGCTCAACGAAGTGACCGCTACGCTGCGCAAACTGTGCGAGAAGTTCCAGGTGAGAGTTATACGAATTATAAAATCCGCGAGTGATGTTCGTGCGAGAGGCGTGGTGGTCGATCTGACAGCGCTGCGAACAGCGCTGTCGCTTCGTCATCACGCGGACACCCTTCTCTCTCGCTTGAGGTTAATCAAGAGAGAACGTCCGACTTTGTTCTTCTTCGGAGAGATGACTTGTCTTGTCTGGAAAGAAAGACGCGAGCGGTCTCAATGACCGCTCCTGACCGTAATAGAAATCGAAAGATCTTCGCGCCGAAAGATGTGTAATCTCACGAGCTCGAGGCGAACGAAGACAAACGAACGAGAGCACGTGGTTTGAACAAGCGCGCGCTAATCGGCCGGACAAAAGCGCCGCGGCCGCGTATCGGCCGAACAGCCGATCGTTGAGATAGAAGTGTCTTAATTAACGCGTCACCCCGCGCGGCGTGTCCGAAATGCGTCTCGGCGAATTATCATGTGCGAGGAAGCGCATTCGGAGGAGCGAAGCCCTCGTGATGCGCGGGACGCTCGAATGGAAGTACCGTGTAGACGCTTAATTAAATTAGTGAAACCGCGCCGTTAATGGTGTCTACCGACCGCGGCAGCTTCGACGTTATTTATCGTTCCTGGAAACTCGACACCCCCCTCCCCCCCTCCCGCGTGGCGCACTCGTACATCCCGGATCGTCGTCGATGGATTTTCCTGATTAGCCCGCGCTCCGTAATTCTCACCTCGTCCGACACGTCGCCGGCACTTCGGCGTATTAACACCTCCCGATGCCTGATCGAAAACAAACACTTCGAGAAGAGACGTACCGGAGAATCGGTATTGATTCTACATCGGGGTCGGGTACCATTCACGCGACCGTTAATTACCGACACAAATTGAACTGTTGATCTTCGGCCCGCTCGATTTTTCTGGAGAAAACCCGGAGATTGCGTCGAGGAGAACGCTACGGGAATACCGTCTTAAATTCGGATTCTTTTCGGAATTGAAGATTCATGTATTATTTATATTATTTATATTTTTATATTTATTGATATTGCATTACTTTTAGTTATTTCTAATTGTAGAAAAATGTGTGTCTTATTTGGAAAAATGTAGATTTACAAAATGTATATTTAGATTTTAAAAAAGAATGTGAGTTCAGAACGGTATAAGAATCAGTTCTTCAATTTCACGAAATCGACCGTTTTAACTTTTAGAGATGTAAATTACGTATTTACGGTTCTGCTCAAAGATCGACTTAAGCTGAAACTTCGTGCTTTCAATCGTCAAGCGGTATCGATGTGGAATGCTAGTTAAAATTATTGCAAAATCACGTTTTTATAGCATGTTGCAGATACTCCTCTGCCCGAGGACACCAAAATGGACGATCCTTTGGAAATTATCGAATTTTTGAGCAATAAAATAAAACTCGGACTCGATGTTCTGAACGTTTCTGATCAATATCTCGAGGCTATGGATGAAGTATTATTGGACAAGGTAAACTAGAAATCTCTTTAATGAAAAGGATAATTTTTTTTCCAAACGGTAGCAAAAAACGTCAAACGGCAATTGCGCGGACGAAGAAAAGAACATTTCCCCTATAATTACTTTTGACCCATACTATCCTATATCGCTATACTATTATATTGCTCGCAGATAACCTATCGAGCTTGCAGCAATTTGTGCGGAAAGGGACCCCTAAATTGTGCCTAAGTCGTCAGTCATAAATAACGCCGATGTCTTCCAGATGGAAACAATGTCGGTCGCTACAACTTCGGCGGAAGGCAGAACAATGCGTGCAAACGGCGGCCCATTGTTTCCACGGTTTCCACCATGCGCGACCCCGGCTGCTGCATTGTCGGAAGACGAGGAAGAAGTGCCGTCCCGGAACGTATTAAAGAGACAAGCGCAATTGCTCGTCGATACCAAAAGTCGCCGCAAAGGGTTCGCCTTCAAGAGATAAATTGCTTGGGTTCAAGAGCAAGGAAAATCGTGTGTTGTAAAATTCAGTTTTCGGCGTTAGTCCACCAGTCCAGTTAGTAATAAATAAATACATGTAACCGCGTCTATACACATCGTTCTGCATTTTGTGTTGCGTCGTTATTTCCCTATTTTACTATCAACGAATTGATATTTTCGACATAATTACCTTAGCCAGCGACATAGTGCAGTATTATTTTTATTATAATTATAATAATTTAATTTAGAGTTTTAAGATGTTTATAAGCATGTGTATGTGCATGTGCAGCGCAATAAATACGTGTAATATTATATATATTTTCGCGAACGGCCATCTGTAATCATTCATGTAGATTACAACATGCGAGTGCTAATAAACCATAAAAATCATATTGCATTATTCAGTCGATCAGTCAGGTCATTGATCTCTGATGATGTCTAGCTGACAGTCAGTGATGGGTAAGATACATTTCAAATGTATCTGAAAAAATGAATCTAAATACATTCAGAATTCGAATTTTGAATGTTTTCGAATTGTACTGAATTGTACTGTTTGTACAGTATTGTGCCGCAATCCGCAACTTTGTAACTCAAAGCGTACCCAAGAAAATTAAGAAAAACTAAATTTTTGGTAGCCCCGCACTTTTCGAATTTTGATTACTTCTGATTGCATCTTAAACTATGTTTTGATTACTCTGTTCACTCACACAACTGAACTATAATACTACACGTACATAGTATCACATACACCAACACAGATTCTTTGGCGCTCCAAAATGGCAGCCGTGAGAGGACCTAACTTTGTTCCGTTCCTCTATTTACGGACCTTGCTGATAGTAAAAGAATCAGAAGCATCGTTATGAGTTTGTATGCATCGAGATGGTGTGAATTGTGCATGCGCGCGACATCTGTAGGGATCTCGCGAAACATGGCAGCGTCGAGGAGATTCTATGATAACATCGATCTGCCATCTAGCGAGCGACTCGAGCGACTCTAACGCTTCGAATCGTATCGATAACGGTTAAGAATCATTTCTACATGAGCAAGCTTCCGAAGATTTTATACGCGGTTTTTACCGCAGCCCGTAAATTTGTACTGTTTACCAATAATTTGTACGCCCGAGTCATTCTAAGCCTGAAGGAACAGATAACGTTAGAGTAGATTTACTTTTACCGATGCAATGCCTGACTCGAGCACGCAAGAGTCAAAAATACGTTACATTGTAAACTCCATCTTACCAATTTGTCCGTCGACGAGTCATCAACGTGAGGTACCGAGCAATCCAGCAATAATCCAGCAATTCCAATGCTCAGATCCGGTATTAGAGGCGATGATTAATACGCAGGAAATATATTCCATGAACAGATTGAAAAGGCACCGATCGCACTTCGCACTGCCCTAACCACACATACAACACTACACTCGGCTGCTTCACTTTTGACACGACACACAAGCAACACAGGCGCTTCCAGTGATACTTTATCACACGCGAGATTTGTATTCGGTATTCTCGGTGATAATTCTTGTCGGAGATCGACTTTGGCCAAGTCGAAGTCTCGAAGAAAACACGACACGGCCTTCCGATACCGTATTACCGCACCGCGACGATCGGTTGACTGACAGCCATATTGCAAAATATTGAGATATTTGAATTCTTAATCGCGCCAATTTCACTCAGCGCACCCTGCGACCGTTACGCGAGATATCGCCTTTGAATCTATTGAGTGAATTTTTTCGCTGAATCTCGCTGATTGTGAGTGATATTTCGCGATGAATATACGCGAAATATATTTCTAGATGCACGCGCTTTATGACAAACGTGAGAAATTTATTCGCACGAACACCGATCGTACGACATTCCATCCCGTAACCTTGACGGTCATTTCTCAGGCGAAATATTCGTTTTTGACGATAATTTAACAATAGCTCATGCGATAAGACATTCTGTGCCAACAGAATACGGGTAATACTTATTTTCGACATCCCTCTTGAATACCGTGCACGAGATTTTCAGGTAGTAGAACCTTTTGGCAGATGTCTAAGAAATGTTTGAAAAATTGTTCAGCCACATTTTCCCAAGGGTCTAGTAAAATGTTACCTGGACATATTATTAGAAATGTGCGTTAAAAGTTCCTGCTACCTGAGCTACACAGGACAAATTTACAGAACATTTTACAGTTTTGTAACGCTCACGATCGGTCGGATGGGCAATTTTATAATCTTGTGACGTGTCTCGCTGCGATTCGTTCCGCAACTAACTGAACGTCGCAACGAGAAAAAGTCACCAAGTATACCAGATAACATTCGCATCGTGACGACCAATTATAGTGATTTATTATTCTTCTTCAATGAAAATCACACGATGCAAGATATTTCGAGAATTTTCTCCGCGTTCGTTATATTCGTTTTGAGGTCGAAATGTATAAAAAATTATTTCATTTATTTATGTTCATTTACTTATCATGTACAGGAAGGAAAGTGATCATTGTTACATATACGTAAAGTTGATAGCGCGAACATGTTAAATAGAAATTTTAGGTAAAAATCAGCTTGAAAGTTCGCTGCACGCTGGACCCAAGCAGAACAGAAAATTATGATGACATCAAAATGACGGGGAAATGACCGAATCATGATGAAAAAATGAATCTTCCTCATCATTTTAATGTCGTCTTGATATCATCATAATTTTCTGTTCTGACTAGGGAGTGGCAAACGTATTAAAATATTAAATATCTTGTCACAGCGATGACAACTTACGAGATAAATAACATATAACATACGAGAGAAATAACTTGATCTCCGAACCGCCGTAACACGATGAACAACGTGAAAGCAACTCATTCAACGCTCTCACACTCTTCGCGAAATATTGCGACAGATATTTGATAATCTTTTGCAACGGTAATGCAGGAAACTTATTTCTCTGACGGCTTTTAATAATAATTCGACTATGCTGTGCGGCGATCCTAAAGAGATAAAAGGCGGTGATGTTGAAGCGATGAGGAAACTTCAGGTATACGATATGCGGCGATAGTGCAAGATGCTCGATTTATCATTTTCTGAGATATGTATAACCTTCAATCTTTACTTTTAATGTTATTTTATCGTTATTTTAGCACAACGTATGTACGAAATATTTCTCGGTTGAGAAAACGAAATGAGAATAGAGCAGTTATCATTCCGGAGGAAATTTTCCAAGTGAAAAGAATTAATCACTCACCATTAACGACCATCACTAACGATCACCATTACTGCAACTGCGATCGTTAACCGATAACTTAATTTCTTCATTAGAGACGAATGATAACCGATACGATTTCTTCGAAATGAAGATCTGATAATGGCGCGAAGCTCGGGAAGAAACACACGAAACTGAACTGAATGTTTAATACTTTTGCTTATACAAAAGATTTCAATACGGCGATTCTTTCTTTTTTTCGCTAATTTATTGTCATCGTACACACATATTATTATATACAAAAAGTAAAGCCTATATACGAGGTGAGGAAAAAAGATGGAAACCCTTAAAAATCTCGAAAGATATAAGTTTTATAGAAAAGTGTTTCAGACAAAAGTTATAAGGCTCAAAACGATGTATTTACTTCTTATCAGTTTGACTTTGAGTGGCGTTGCCAAGGTCAGATCAGGTCAACTTATTCTTTTTAAACAGAAACCTTCATTTTTTATTATGTCATCTTTTTCTACCAATTAATTTGAACAACTTTTGTCTGAAACATTTTTTTTATTCATCTAATATATTTTGAAATATTTAAGGAAAACTTGATGACTTTTTCAATACTTAACTTACGATATCTCGCTAACTATTTGTCAGAAGAAAAAATGATACTAGACTTTTTTGTTCTATTTGGTCTCAAGAACATATTGTTACAATAGTTCCCTAATGTCTTTTTAAGATTCTTGTGCCATGGCGTATAAAAATGTATACTATTGGGTGAGTGCAAAAGTTCGTGCGGAGTTTGTGAGTAAAAGTCACACAGTGATTAGGCAAACAAAAATCTTTATTCAATCAATGATATATTCTCCATCGTTTTCTATAATCTTTTCCCAACGTTCTGGCAGCATACGGATGCCTCGATCATAAAAACTGCGCGGTTTAGATTCGAAGAATGAAGAGACGCCGTTTTTTAAGGCCTCCAAAGAGTCAAAGTTTTTTCCATTTAAATAATTTTGCAATGACCGGAACAAGTGATAGTCAGATGGTGCGATATCAGGAGAATACGGTGGATGCGTTAAGACATCCCATTTCAGGCTCTTCAGTTTGCGCAGCGTCTTTTTCGAAACGTGTGGTCTGGCGTTGTCGTGATGAAAGACGACTCCCTTGCGATTTGACAAAATCGGACGTTTCTCTTTTATTTCTCGATTCAGATTGGTTAATTGGCGACAGTACTTGTCCGAATCAATCGTTTCGCCAGCGGGGAGAAGCTCCAAATAGATTATGCCCTTGCAATCCCACCAAACAGAGAGCATCACCTTCATCGGGTGCAAACTGGCCTTTGGCATTGCGTCACCATGCTCACCTGATTGTTTCCATGTCCGTTTGCGCTGAACATTGTTGTAGAGGACCCATTTCTCATCGCCCGTCACTAGTCGATCCAAAAACGACTCGTTATTGAGCAGTCCGAATAAAGAAACGGCTGCAAAAATTCGCTTGATTTTGTTCTTCTCGGTCAGCAAATGGGGCACCCATATATCGAACTTCAAATCGAATCCCATCTTTTTTAAACGCCGAAAAGCGGTTGATCGGTCAACGTTTAGTGCTGTAGCAACTTCTTCTGTTGAAATTCGCGGATTATTGAGCACTAAAGTACGCAAAACATCGTCATCAATGTCAGAAGGTCGACCAGAGCGTGGCTCGACTTCAAGGTTAAATTCTCCGCGCCGAAATTTAGCAAACCATTTTTCCACAGTTCGTTTAGCTGGTGCTTCATCCTGATAAACATCCCGAATGTTTTTTACGGCTGCGGCAACGTTTATTCCCTTCCGAAACTCGTAAAGCATAACATGCCGTAAATGCACCTTATCGATACCCATTTTTAAAGTGATATTTCTCGAAGCAGTTTGTATGAAAACAAATGATTTTTTTTTTAATAACAGCTGAAGACGTCACCTTTCCAACGTTATATAATATGTAGATGGAAGTATTAATGACAACACTTTACGACGCTTATAACTCCATCTATTGAAA